TGAAGAGAGGGAGAACAAGAACAAGCTGGAACCCACAGTCACGAGCTGGAGCTGTTGAGGATGGACAGAAACACACATCCGTGCTTGTTGCCTGTGACCTTGGTGGTGTGGATATCCCACAGGCTAGGCCAAGAGCTAAGTGCACACATCTGGCCTGGAAGTTGGAGAAGCCGAAGGAGGATGGAGGGAAAGGTAGAGCAGGTGCACACTCAGCTGCCACCTTCTGTCAGGAGGTGAACCAGCACATAAGTGACAGTGTCTGCCAGCTGTAAAATGGCTGCTGCTTTGTTTCTATTCTCCGAGCCTTCTGTAAGAATCCCTCTTGTTGGCCACCCTGACCATAACACACAGAGAAGGCAATTCTGGTAAATGTATGTTAGACTAGTCAAACTGACACGGCGACCACAACCCATGCTTTGGTACCTTGGCACATCTCCGTAAACTATATTTAATCTCCAAATAGAGAAAATAACAAAGCCATGCTTCTGTCTAACATGATGTAACTGTCCCACATACAACCAAAAGCATGCTAACTCTTTCCGCAGACTAGAACATAAAGCTACTATTAACAGATTTTGTGTTAGATGGTAACGGGAGGAAGGAGGGAAAGAAAAGGAGAAAAAAGTTTTTATTAAATAAAAGTTAATATTTAAATGTCTATGTGCATATATGTGTTCATGTAAAAATATTAAAGGGATATTATAACTATTACAGTATGATAATAATTTCTGAAACTGGTTATCTGGTTTTAGGTAGTATTTACAACTGCTTTGTTCTGTTCCCCATTTCCATATTCCCTTTGCTCTTGGCAGCGCCTTAGCTGCTGAAGGTCTGACCCAGGGGTTGGCAAACCTTTGAGACGGAATTGCTGATCCTGTCCCTCACAACAATTTAAAAATTATTCGAGAGCTATAGAACAAATGAAATCACCATTATGTGAATAATATCCTTTAAAAATTTTATAAATGAAACTATGATAGTTTTATTTTCATTTTCAATTTTACTTCAGAGCCACGTGTACATACCCAAAGAGTCGCATGTGGCTCGCGAGCCACAGTTTGCCAACCCCTTGTCTGGGCCATTTATTAGTAGTCCTACCTTACTTGAGTTGTTGTAGTTTATCATTGACTTTAATCACAGACCATGAGAATATTAAGAGGTGCCCTGAAAGATCTCCTACATTCAAGATATATTTCCCCTTATCGCCATTGTGTAATAAGCAACCCAGTTTGCCCTTGACAGTGAGAATCAGTTACTCCAGCCAGCACAGCAGCTCCCTCCTTTGCCTTTTGATTCAGTGGAATGAAGAGCCCGAGTGGCCAGGTAGCAGTCTCAACTTCAAGTTCAATGAGTCATTGTTGTAGAAGTATTGGTAGAAGTATTCCTCCCTTTGGAACTAAGACCTTTAGACCAGTATGGCCTGAAGTCTCAGATGGGAGGCAGAAATTTGCTAGTATGTCAAAAGGGGCAATAGTGAGATGGGTCACTCCTATTCTGACCCCTAGATTTCCAGACTTGTGAATCCTGGCTGTGGGAGAGACAACATCATAGTTTGGATACTGATTTAGAGTATATATACTTCATCCTGGAGAACATTGCCCTAGCTCCACAAGGTATCACCTAACCTCACAAGATGTAACCTAGCCAGCACTTGTAATTAAACCTTGAAAAGGCCAGTTCACTGTTCTATCCAGCCAGCTACTTCAGGATGATGGGGAACATGGTAAATTAAATGGGGGTGGGCCATTGTCTGGTCGTCATCTTCACCTCCTTCCCTCCAGCAATTTTTTTTCACTTTGCCCCCCTTAGACTTAATACAGTCTCCACTATCTGTTAACAGCCTGTACATTATAAAATGTTCGTTCTACAGTGTTGATCATTGTTGCAAATATAGGAAGATGGTGGGTTAAAGGTCATAGAAGATGTGTACATGACTGATAAATATAAAACATTTTGGATCTATCCCCAAAGCGAAGATAATGGGAAAAATGCAAATAAGTAGAGGGTATAAGATCAGGGAGTTATAGTTATTATTCTTGGATAGATGAGTATCATATTTTCTTTCAGTTGTGTTGAAGAATCATTCAGACTTAATTAGCAAGACTGTACCCTATTTAATTCAAGCACTATGAATAAATCAGAGAAGTTTGACAACATCCATGAACATAGCTGTAAAGAGTAGAAATACTGTCTTCCATGTACAGATTTGATTTGACTTGAATACATTTCCTGATTAATTATGAATTGATTTTTAATAACAATATTTTTATTACAATGTATCATAAGAAGGCACAGATTTATATATAAAAGTGCGTATTCTTCCCTTACTAATATGTTTTAGATAAGATAAATGCCTATTAGATACTTATATTTTCTTGGATAAGTACCTTAATCCACTTGGGTATGTTTGTTCTAGATGAAATTTAAGTTTTCTGCAAGTTCTCTATTCTGCTTCAAAGTCTATATTAAAAGTATACCCTTTTTGTTTTTTAAAGATAGGTTTCTTAAGTGAGAGAGGCTTTACTATAATACCATATACTCTTCAATTTTATAGTTGGGTTAACCTGTGTTTGATTCCTTGTTCTGCCTCTTAATAGCTATGTGATTTTGATTGTTATTCAGTTTCTCTTAGCCTCAGCTTTTTAGTCTGTACAAGTGAGAATGACAATTCCTATGTTGCAGGGATATTTGGATAAGAGAGTACTTAACCTAGAACATAGTTGGCCACTGTTATGAAAAAGATTAGTGACCAGTTCTGATATTTTTCAAAATATAATATATTATGGTTGAGATACAGGTCTGCAGTTAAAATAAGAATTTGTAAGTTAGAACAATTTACATAAATAGACAAAACTGAGAGAATAGACAGATATACCACGATTAATATGGAGAAAAAGAAGATAAAAAGAAATTCCTAGTATGGACAAGGAAGCTAATGTGCTCTGAGAAATACCTAACCAATAACGTTTTTACCTGATTCAATAATAATATTTTAGAAATTTTCTTCTGCTTACATTTTGTTTCATTTTCTCTTTTTTCTTTCTAGTTTTTTAAGGTGGAAGTTGGCATCATTGATTCGGTTTTTTCTTGTTTCCTAATATAGGTGTTGAGTGCTTTAATTGTCCCTGTGAGTACTGCTTTACAACATCGCAATATTCTCTTATGTTATATTTTTTCTTTTTTTTTGCAGTTCAAATACTTTCTAATTTTCTATTTTTTTTTGTTGATACATGGGTTGTTTGGAAGTGTGCTATTTAGTTTCCAAATAATTGGCAATTTTCCAAATATCTTTCTGTTATGATTTCTAATTTAATTCTGTTGTGTTCATTGCACATACCTTATGTTATTTGAATCCATTTAAATTTATTGAGACTTGTGTTATGACCGAGAATGTCATCTATCTTAGGAAATGTTCTCTGTGTACTTAGAAGAATGTGTGTTCTGCTGATGTTGAATAGAATGTCTATCAATGTCAGGTCAAGTTGGTTGATAAATAGTTCAAGTTTTCTATATGCCTATTGATTTTATATTTGTTTTATCAATTTTTGAGAGAGTTGTGTTTAAATTTTTTACTATAATTTCTCCAGCAATTCTCTCAAGTTTTGCTTCATGTATTTCGAAACTCTGTTATTAGGTATTTAAACTTGAGGATTGTTGTGTCCTCTTGATGGTATGATTCTTATCATTATGAAATGACCTTCTTTATCCTTCGCAATATTTTTTGCTTTCTCTGACACAAATAGAGCCATTTCAGCTTTCTTCAACTCTTTTGAAATATCTGCTAAGATGCAACATCTTGCTATTACTTTGTATTTGATGATAAAAGGTCGTTCTCTTTTTGGTACTTAGTCGACCAAATACAACTTAGTCTAATGGAAGAAAAACACAAGTTACTGAGCAATTATGGTACAGTGTGGTCATCATGAGGCTGAAGGGAATGTAGCCCTGGAGGAGCTTGGAAGGTCTGGGACAGTTCTTTCATGGAAGTGACAACTAAATCTAAGCCTCAGGCTGAACTATGAATACGAGTAGAATGGCAAAATTGAGGGCAGAATTGGTCAGAGAGTAATATGTGCAAAGCCTGAAGATAACAGTACTTTTGGGGACTGAAAATAGGATGACTGGAGCATAGAGTTTGCATGTGGATGTGATCAAATGTGATTGGAGAGGTTATCAATGCCAGATCATGAAGAGATTTGTAATAATGGTGGCTCAGAATTATGAATTCTTACTGTGTGCCACACATATGTTGTGAGGATTGAGTAACCCTATTATAGGTAATATTGTTATAACCATTGTAAAATGAAGCAATGAAGTATAGAGAGAGCACAGATTAAATAACTTGCCCAAGGTTATACAGACAGGCGATAGTGTTTACCATGGTCTTTCTAACTACAGAGAGCAAGCTTTGAACCATCACTTTTCTGTGTCTTTGATTTAGTAGGCCAAACCAGAGCTTGAACTTGATGCTGTTCACATTGTAGAGCTCTTTTTAATCAGGAATGTAAATAAAATTTGGGTTTTGTGTTATAAAAGCATCACCCTGGTTTATATTGGAGGTGTGGGGAAGGTACCTGGAGATATAGTTGAAAAATGGTTTATGGTCTGTATAGAGTGTATGCTAATTTTAAAGTAAAAGTAGTTCTTAACCTCTCTGCAGTTTAGTTTCCTTATCTATTAAATGGAAACGAGAACGGTCCTCTCTTCATAGGAGTATAAAGCAATCAGATTGCATCGAATTGCACATAGTAATTACTCAGTAAATTTAGCTGTGATGATGATGACGACGACGACTACTATGACGAGGATGATGATGACAATGATGCTTGATTGACCCTAGAAGGTCAAGCTTATTAAACTTTAATCATGTTTTCTTTTTCTTCTTTTTTTTAAATGTAAGAGTTTTATCATAGAACTCACAGATATGATTTCAATGTGCTACAGTATAATTAAATCTTAACTATCTTCTACTTCCCACTACTGTTATTTTGATTTTTCAGTTTATGGGAAAAACAGATGGAGACTATTACACTCTGGATGACATGTTTGTCTCCAAAGCAGCTGAGGGAGAACGTTTTGGTGAAGAGGAAGAGAACCAGAGGAAAAAAGCTATTGCTGAACACCGGAGACTTGCTGCACAAATGGACAAATGTCTGTATTGTTTTGACAGCTCTCAATTTCCCAAGCACCTTATTGTTGCAATAGGTGTTAAGGTAAGAAATAGAGTGGTTATTGCCCTAAGAAAATAATTTAGTGGTATATGTAGATCTGCCTCTTTCTTCATACTCTTATAAGATTCCCAAGGAATCTTTCTTCTCTTATTCTGTGTTTCAAATATTTTTTTTTCTAGGTTCCCATGATTCTTAGAATCTTCTCTAGAGCGAGTATAAATATTTAAATGACATGGAGCTCACATTTTGCATGATACTGCTCTTTAGAGAGACAGCATTGGGTAGTGGTTAAGGCCCCGGACTATTTGCCAGGCTATTTGAATTTGGATTTTGGCCCTGCTTTTACCAGCTGTAAAACCATATTTTCATGATTGGCACTGAGTCTCAGTATTAAAATCAACTTCTGGGATACTCAGTCGAAAGTAGCTTTTGCTTTTTCTCTTACTTTCTCAAGGTACCTATTTACTTCTTCGTAGAATATCTCATAATTTGAAGAAGTTTACTGTATTTTGTTTTACTTGTTTATTGGGTCTCTTCCCCAATAGTCTGTAAGTTCCACAAAGACATAGATAACTTGTATTCATCATTGTATGCCAAGTATGAATGTTTACAGTCATTTATTCCAATAAAAGTTAATAATCAGTTATTTAATAGTCACTAATAATAGTCATTTATTTCAGTAAATATTTGGTGATTTAATTCTTATGTTAAATAAATCATTATTATGTATCTGATATATGCTAAACTCTAATTAGTCACTGGCGAAAGTAGAGACTCTGATATACCTGTGGAGCTTGTATTCTAGTGAAATAGTGCAGAAAATAAACTAAGTAATAATTTTTCTGATTTACAAAAGTGTTACTATTTGTCATAAAACAGATAAAGCAAGAAAATAAGGTAAAATGATGGGAGAGTATTTTTTGAGAAGATGGTTAAGAAGGCTTCCCTGAGGAGGTATTTTGTAAAGAAATGAATGATGAGAAGGAGCAAGTAACGTGAAGATATGAATTAATAATGTTTCAGGAAGGGGCGTCAGTGAGTGAAAAGCCTTGAGGATGAAATGAACCTGGCATTCATGGAGCAGAAGGAAGACTAGTTAGTGTAGCTGGAGTGCAGTATGTGAGAAAAAGTGATGAGAGAGGAAGTTGAATGAATGAATGCTAGTTATAGGAAGTCATCGTTTTGGAAACATACATTTTTCTTAATTAATTTGTTTATTTTGTATATTCGCTTATACACAGCCCTATGTAGCCAAAGAATTAGCTTTTCCATTCCAACTCTAGTCTTTAATATCTTTAGGTTGTTAAGATAGTTTATCGGTTTGGATTTTGGTTTCTTTATTCTCTTACCCTTCTTTTTTTTCTTTCTTTCCTTCCATACTTTATGAAAAAAATGTAAAAATTGCATTCAAAATGTAATCAAGTAAAAAAAAAACAGTTAAACCAGTAACTTGTATTAATTTTTCTAAGTTCTTTGCTAGACCTTTATATACCCATTTACATTTTTATATTAATAATTATGACATTATGTATAAATATTTCATTTCCCTTTAGTCTGATTCCCTACCTTTAAAAAAAGTACGAAGAAATTAGCCATAAGTTTTTCCTATGATGCTTTAGGAGAAGTTTGGGTGTTTTCAATGACTTCATTTTCCCTAGTGCACTGAAGACAGGCTGGGTCCAGGGAGGCACAGAGGGTTAAGTGTGCAGACCTTTCCTTAGCCTCCTGCTTTGTAGGTTCAGTCTCAAAGTAGGCATTTCTCATTCACTGGTGAAAAGAAACTGTTGGCCAGTAAGGAGACATTTTCTTTTTTTTTTTAACTCATTCTGCTATCGCATACATTCCTTTTCCCATTCCTCTCAGCTTTCCTCTTCTGCTGTAAGGTAATCCACATTTTCCAATTAGTCATTTTGAGTGGTATTAAATTCTCTTTGCCTTTAACTTAACTGAGAGTTGGCTGATCTGGTTCTTCCCTCTTCGACTAGCCTTTTCATTCTGGTTCATTTGAAAACCATTTGAGTCTCTCCTTTCTTTACCTATGCTTTAATATGCTATCTTTGTTCTAAAAACTACCACCTACCTTCATTCTTTCATCTGTGAATATTTTAATGTAGAAATATTTGAAATATTGATTGGGAGGAATTTCATCCATTTCCTATGCTATCTGACTGCCTATCTCATCGATTGTAGTTAATAGGTTATTTTATTAATCTTAACAAACAATAACAAATTATTCTTTTTAGTTACTACCTAAGTTAATCATATTTGATTATGGGTTTCTAAGAAATTACTTTGCCATTAAGCAGAAATGATAAGTAGTTTTTCAAAGCAATTCAGTAATTCTCATTCAGCTTGCATTTCTAATATTTGAAGTTAATGTCTTAGATCCACATGTATTAATGAAACTGTGTTAGTATTCATTAGATTCAGACAGTTAGTTAAATAATTTCCTGGTTATCAGCTGTCCCTGCCTCTTCCTCCTTTTTTTAAAACAAAAGTAATCTAGCCACTTCCTTGTCTTAACACAGAGCTTCACTTTTGTTTTAAAAAAGTAGACAGTTTTTTAGAACAGTTTTAGATTTAGGGAAAAATTGAGAGGACAGTGCAGAGTTCCATACACCCCACACCCAGCTTCCTCTGTTGTTAACATCTTACATTATGCAGTAAATTTCTCAGAATTAATGAGTCAGTATGGATACTGTTTTTAATTGGGAATATGGTTGTGATTTTACTATAAATTTAGGCAAATATCCATACCTACTCCTACTTTGTCCTTCCTCAGCAAAGTTTTTAAAATTTGCCTTACATTCTTAAATAAACATTGTCTGCCATGTGAAATATTTCTAGCTAAAACCTAACAAAAAAAACCCAAAATAAGACCAAGCCTCTGCAGAATATTATTTATGCTCCTATGAACACATTTGGTCACTGCATGCATACTAATTGACCCTTTTTTAAAAAAGACAGTTTATAATGGAAAAATAGCACCAGCTTGTAGGTAATACATGTATTTTAAATAAATAGAACTTAACCAGAGCAGTGAAGCCATACAGAAGTTATTTCCTGTCTCTCTTAGTTTGGTTAATTCTCTTCTCTCAGCCAATGAGAGAAGGAAGGCCTGAATTAATAGGCATCAGTTAGACTTATCTGCTATTACCAGGCCATGTTTTTTTTTGTTTCTTTTTTTTGCGTGTTTTTTTTTAAATCCTTGCAAAAATTGTATTGTTTCAAGGGCTTTGAAAGCATATAGCCATTATGCCCTTTGGTAAGCTTAATCTTTGATGTAAAACAGTTAAATTTAAGATTTGTGCTATTAATTTTCAATTTTTTAAAATCTTTTTTCATGGCTTTTATAATTTTAAAATATTAAATATCTTTTAAAATATTAAAATAAAATATATTGCTTATAAACAAGTATACTTTATTAAATGTTAGCCATGTTTCCCTACTAGGGCTTCATCTGTTGCAACCAAGAATAAATAGCAATAACATTTCATTTTTTTCCCAATTTTTTTTCCCATAGGTTTATTTATGTTTACCCAACTTTCGATCTCTTACCGAGGGGCACTGCCTGATTGTGCCTTTGCAGCACCATAGAGCAGCTACCTTATTGGATGAAGACATCTGGGAGGAAATTCAGGTCAGCATGATAATGCTCATTATCATTGTAACCTCATCAGCAATTTTTACAAACTACTGTGATAAATTCCAACAGGTTTTATACCTTTGTCCAATGACTTTACTTTCTGGACTTAAACACTTGTATACATTTCCATAGTGTGCATATCTATGGACCATGATATTTTCATCATGATCCCGTATAGACTCCATGTTTTGAAAGCTTTAAAAAAAGTTTTTTTATTGAGATATAATTGACATATAACATTATATTAGTTTCAGGTGTCCTACTGAAAGCTTTTGTCTACTAAATAAACTGTGACAAAATAATAATTATTTTTATTTAAAAAAAATCAGTGTAAGATTTCTAATCTTTGCTTTTTGTGGAACATCAGATAATCATTCTTACCACAATGAACTAATAAATTACATCCAAAAGGAGAGTTATTTTCAGATAAAAAAAAAAAGTTTTGGAAGTTAGAGAAATGTTTATATTCAGCAGTTGTTATATTTTTCTGTAATGGAATTGGCCTTCTCTGCTGCTGTGATTTTACCAGCTTTAATTTCCTCACTTTTCCCTTCATAACCTGGTCCAGAGTTTGGATTCAGGGATTTTATTTTAGTGTGTGTGTGTGTGTGTGTGTGTGTGTGTGTGTGTGTGTGTGTGTGTGTGTCTGATTTTCAAGAAATTGAAAGACACAGCATGGGTGAAATTGCTGCTGAATTATTTCAAGACCTCGTAATGACCAAAAAAGAAAGAAAGAATGAAAACTCTTGTGTTTTTAATACTCGACAACTGAATAAGAGTTACAGCGACTCTGAGTTAGAAAAATGTGAAAATTATAAGATTTCGAAAGAGATTATATGAGTTTGTGCACATACTGATAAAGATGCTAAAAGGGGAAACATTTTTACTGTATCCAATGAAATTCAGTCTCTTTCTCCCTGTAATATTTAAGTTTATGCTGTGAAAGTCAAAGGGCAGGAGGGTAAGAATGTGAACAAATACAGAGGGTGCCAAGAAAATGTATACACATTTTAAGAAAGGAAAACTATTAAAATTGTAATATTCAATTTATACCGATAAAAAAAGATGAATGCAAGCCACGTTTGACTTCTGCAATTACAAGAGGTGCTCAAAGTGGTTACCATCAGTGATTACCCAGCAGTGATTACAACAAACTACTGCTTGAGTAACATTGACCAAAATGTCCATTTGTATACATGTTTTGGCACCCTTGATATAGTTGATGTGAGAATTTGTTTTTTTCTACTAGTGGATACCAGTGCAATAAATAATTTAAAATGGAAAGTATGCAAATTTGGTTTTCAGAATTATTTTAGAAATTTCCTGAAATACCTTTTAAAAATTTATACATGCAAAACTGATTTAACTTAGAGAAAACTACAGTGCCAAAAAGATTTTAAGTAATACAGGAATCTGGCCTGTGTGTTTTATATTTCTGTAAGAAATTAAAGTACTTGATGAAACACATTGAGGTGGATAAAGAAGAAATTTATTCTGTACAACATATACTGAGTACACGAGTATAACATAATCCAGGGGTTGTGAGAAATGCAGAGACAAAATCATTCATTAATTTTGCCCAAAGGTACAGTATATTGTAATACAGGTTACATTATAGTTTAGCAGATTTTGTAAGCCGGATGCATTATGGAAAATTGAGGGAGGAAAAGTAAAATTGTTTCATGCAAATAATAGCTCTCTTTGTTTGAAAGAAAAAATTGTTAGACGTTGTAAATTACTGTAAGATAGTGAATGAATAAAGTATCTGAATTCTGGCTTATTTAAAGAAATGTAGTAGCGTTTTTTGATATTTGTTTTTACTTTAAAATATGTACAAAAACTCAAATTAATTATGCCCTGGTGAATACCTTATGGTCATTCACCTCTTTTAGAGAATATATTTTATAAAAAGATTAGACTTAAGCAAAATATATTGTTTGCAAATACAAGAGCCATTTCTTTCAAGTGATTTTTATCACCATCCTCTAGTAACATTTAATGAATTTTATATTTTCTATTTAATAGAAAATGCAAAGATAAGTTTCAACAGAGAATATGGGAATAATCACAAAATTCAAATGAATAAGATCCAAATTTTTAATTTTCTTAAATATATAGTGAAACTCTGTCTCCTTTAAATGTATTCTTACCAGTTTGACAAATATGCTTGAACATATGTTATAGTCAGACACTGTAGGTCCGCTTTTAAAATATCCCAAATTAGCAGTGTGGTGGTGGGGTGGTTGATCCTTATGTGCAGTGGGCTTCACTGTGGAGTCATATGATGGGGCCATTTCACAGGAGAACCTCCAGTGTTGGTACCTTTAGGTCTTTTTCTTGAGGCCAGTGAGAATCTCTAGACAAACTCTTTTAATCTTTGGCCTAGAGCATCTTATTAGTGTTCTGGGAGCTGAGCTGGGGAAGAAGGCTGGGGTGGCAGAATGCTGAACATTTTAGAACATTAAGTAACACTTCCTATAATGCCCCTGTTTTCAGACTATACTCTCAACTGTCTGGTTTTCCCAGCCCAGCACTCTTCCCCAAAAGATAATCCTATAGTGGTCTGCTGATGTGTGTGTGTGTGTGTGGGGGGTGGGTTGGGGGGTGGTCTGGCATGTTCATTGCCTTTTCAAAAGACTTTCAGTGCACCATCTGTTTTTCACACCTTCACATTTACTTCCATAACTGTTGGTACTACCGGTTCCTGAGCCTTTTGAGGACTGCAGTGCAGCGAGGCTTTCCTCTTTACTATCCCCAAAGCCCCTGCCCCCACCTCACCCAGTGTGAACGAGCTGTCTCGTGTTTAAGTCAGAAACACGGGGTGATCTGATGTTTCAGTGTACTTTGTCTCATTCTCTTTGTTTTAGTAGGTTTGTGCTGTTTTAAAAATTATATTGTCATTTTTGAAGGTTCACTTCATGAAGGGTATAGAGTTAAAAGTGTATGTTCTATCTCATAACATTTATCTTTGGATAACTTTATCTTTAGGTAGACATGTTCTATTTAGAAACTGAATGAATTATAGTGTTAATATTACATGATCAACCCTAAATAGCTTTGATTTTTTTAAGGAAAATATTTTCATTTTCATTTCAAAATTGTTTATTCATATTTACTTGACTTTTTGTAATGTGACTTGATGCATATTAAGAATTATAACACCCTGTAGTATAGTTTACTTAAATATGTTGTAAGGAATTCTAGTCTAAGTGTGTTAACAAAATGAGGGATGGCAATTAGGTGAGTAATCATAGATTAGAAATATGGAAAACAGTGATTACCCAAAGGATAAAGTGTTGTCTACTAGGAATATGGGAATTTTATGTCATCCCCATAACATGGGATCTGTGTAGCTCTCTGAAACATGAAATAGTTTTGGTATCTTATGATATTGAACTAAAAAACTTTCTTCATTGTTTCCATACAACTTTAAAAAAATGAATATTATATAAATATGTATGCTGTATTTGTTAGATTGAGCTTGGAGGAAACCATGCTTTAATGGAGCTGATAACCTCAAATTACACCATTAAACTCATCACATTTTTAAATTCAAGTCGTTTATATTCATAGAGGAGAAGTACTTAAATGTGTGTGTCCTCTTTGAAGCTATTAGTATGATGTTTATATATTTTATAATATTGAACTATTTTTGCATCATTACTGATTTAGTACTTTTGAGCTTTCATTTATAATTCATGACATCTTGAGTCTGTCTTCACTCTTGTCCAGATAAAATTTAGAACAATCATTTAGCAGTTAAACCAGGAAAGGATTATGAACAAACATGAAGGAAGGAACTTTGTGAGATAATCTTTGGATTATGTAAATTTTTATTGTTGTTGTTGCTGCTTTTTATCCACTGGTCCCCATCTTCAAAAAAGTTTAGTTTTCAAATATATAGTTCCACTCTAGTAAAGATTTTCCTTTTCTATTATATAAAATTATCTTCTCACTATAAAATTAAATAATGAAATAAACTTAATTGAAAATATAATAATAAAAACTCACAAATATAGTAACAGTTAACAAAGTAGTGACATTCTAAAAAACTATGTTATAACGCCAAATTTGTACATTTTCCCATTTGATTTTGTTTTTTAGTAGTTTTGTGTATGTGAAGGCAGCTATCTGGGACATACAACTGAGGAGAGGGAACAATAGGGTTAACTGTTGTCACTTCCTGGTTCATCAGCAGCTTTAGTCATATCACTGATGTCAGTTAATTGCCCATCTTATTATTCTTCACTGCTGTTGCAAATAAAACCTAATTCACAGTACCTTGAAGTAGCAAAAGTTAATTTCTTGTACCATAGTCCAAGAAACAGACCGTTCTTCAAGGCAGATTGCCTGTAAGCAGTAATTCAGGCATCCAGGCTCCTTCTGTGATAAGGCTGTCCTGTGGTGGAGTCTTTCTCCTTCCGCCCGTGGGATGGAAGAAAATAACATGAGAAGGCACACTACCTCTTAACTGCTTCAGTTCACATGTGACATATCATTTCTACATACATTTATTACTCAGAACTAAATATGCCCCCACCTAAGTCTCAGAGAGGCTGGGAAATTGAGTCTTCTTGTTTGCCCAGGAAGAGGAAAATGAAACAGTTTAGTTAACACAGCCTTTTTTAGGGAGGGTTTTTATCTGCAGAAATCAGATTGGGGGCATGGCAACTATAAAATTTGAATGATCCATTTTATCATTTAGCTATCTATACCAATATTTTATATTTTATTATTTTTTATCATAATTTAGTCTCAATTGTGTACTGTTTCTAGTAATGTGATTTTGAAAGTGTGATACTTAAGTTAGAGAATTTTTAAAAGGGGAAATCATCTATAATGATTTATCTAACCATCACCTATAATGAGATTATAGGTGGAAAGTCTGCATTCCCTTACATTCTTAGCCAAGACTTTGAATTTAACAACCAATTGAGTGTCTGAAGTAAAGACACTTATGTCCAACTTACATAAATGAAAAGTGAATCCCTTATCTGTTGCTTACTAGGTTCCTTTCTAGTTTACCTCAAGTTATAATTACTTGATTTCTTCTTTTTTTTTTAACTTGATCTTGTTTTATAAAATGAGTGGAAAACAAAAAAAGTGATCAATAGTAAGTGACCAGTGGTGATTTGGTGGGAACCCAGAGCATCCATCATCCCCTACCCAGCAGTAATAAGTAGCCTCTTCCCTTTTTGGGTGTCAACAGGCTGAGTGGGAACCTGAACTTCTGTCTCCATGTGGTAGTAACTAGGCAGTGGCTCAACAGCTACTTGGTCGAATTTCCAGGGAATTATACTGAGTGATGAACGCCAACCTCCCAAAATTATGTGATTTTATTTATATAACGTTCTATTTTTATTTTATTTTTTTAATTTAAGTATAGTTTGTATACAATCTTATATTGGTTATATTAGTTTCCAGTGTCCAATATAGTGATTCGACATTTCTATACTTTACAATGTATAAAATTCTAGTAATCATTTGTCACTGTCTAAACTTATCACAATGTTATTGACTATATCCCCCTTCCCTTTTTCTACCATCCCCTCACCCTCTCCCTTCTGGTAACCATCCCTTTGGTCTCTGTTTCTGTGAGTCTGTTTTTGTCGTTTGTTTGTGTTTTAAAAAACAGTCTTGAAATGACAAAATTAAACAAATGGAGAACAGATTTGTGGTTGCCATGGTTTAAGAAAGGGGGTGGGAGTGAGTGTGGCTCTAAAAGGGCAACAGGAGGGCTCCTCATAGTTTGGGATTGCTCTGGGTCTTGACTGCATCAATATTAATTATATCATGGTATGTGTGGTTTTGTAAGATGTTACCATTGGGGGAAACTGAGTTAAGGGTACATGGGATTGCTCTGTATTATTTCTACATGTGATCTATAATCATAATAAACATTTTAATTAAAATACTAAAAAGTTAGAAATCAAGCTGACAAATCTAAATAAAAAAGTATTTCATCCTCCTACTTATGCAAATATACTTACATAACACTGTGCGAGGCCAAGTTTGAATTTGTAATTCCCAGACATCATGGAGGCTCACACATGGTGATGTGGGTAGAGTTAGTTCGCTTTTGGCTCCTGGTCTGTAGCCTGTACCCCTTTCTTTTAACCCCTGGCTTCATCCTGTACTACAAGGGATGTCCTGTGAATACACATGAACATCCTGGACCCCATGTCTAGGCTCCGTCCAAACACCCTCTACAAACAACTGTCCCTCAGGCCTAGGAGTGTGAAATAAATAAATAATTAGTATATAAATAAGTAAATAAATGAGTAAAAATAGGGATTTTATAATAAGGATGAGCTCTTTGGGAGCAAACACTCTTACTTTTCAATTTTAGTACATTCAATTTTTATACATTTGATAGAACTGAATTATGTATGAAAATAGAGGATTGCTTGAATATACAATGCAAGGTTACAATGGTCAGCAGATATATCAGGGAACCAACAAATGAAGGTGCTATGAGCATAGGGAAACATTAGAAATGATCTCTGCTTATCTGTTAACTGAATTTAAGGATGCCTACTTGCTCAGTGTTCCTTTTTTAGCTTTTGGATGTTTTTCTATGACTTTACTGTCAGTTCTGCATATTTTACCACCTAAATTTGATTTTATTCTCTTCCTTTTCTTAGTTTACTGGAACCATCTAATATGTACATAAAACTGTGTAGAATGAGTTTCAGTTTAAAAAAATGTTGCCATAATATGTGAAATTATGTAGTGGATTTAGAAAGTGAGGTAACTATAAGGTAACAAATAAGACAGAGTTCAGATATTGTGTACTATTTGTTTTTTAGTTTAAAGGGATTTATTGTACTTTTTATTGTTTTCATATTTTAAATCTTCTCTAAGTGTTTTATTTACCTAACCATTTTCTTCTCTTCAGGTGTTTAGAAAATCATTGGTAAAGATGTTTGAAGATAAAGGATTGGACTGCATCTTTTTAGAAACTAATCTGAGCATGAAGAAACAGTATCATATGGTTTATGAATGCATTCCGCTCCCGAAGGAAGTGGGTGATATGGCTCCCATCTATTTTAAGGTATTTATAGCTTTTACATGCATACTTATTTTTTGTTACTGTGCTGTTTTATGAATACAGTTATCTTTATTCTTGTAGTTTTTCTCCAAAATACTTAAATTTCATATCATAAAAAAATGAAATAAAGAACAAAAAATTCTGTGTATATTTCTAAAGAAAGAAATTTGGGATTTTGACCTTTAAAGGCATGCTTATTTATAAGTGTGAATATACTACCAAATGGTAATTTATAATTTCTATTTTAAGTTTTCAAATGAAAATCAGGTTTTACCTTGAAGAACTTCCGAGTCAAAATTATAATCATATCCTAGAAAACTTACTGAAATTCATGAGAGCCATAGATAGCCACAACCAACAGTACAAATTGTACCTGCTGAGACCATTTATTGCTGTAAGTTTAGTATTTAATACCTCATTGTGCTATTTGTAAAAAGAAACTAACATCTAATCTCATACATTTTTGGATATATAGTAAATGACTAGAGTTCTTAATTGTCATTATAATACTCAAGCAACTTTTACTATATAGCATGTGTTTTGCTGACCTGAATACAATATAATTTATAGACTAATGTAAATACATAAATGTAGAATCATATATGAAATAGTAACATGCGCAATGAAAAAAGGCGGTAATATCTTGTAAGGTGGTGTAGGAAGACTTGCAAATGTAATGTTTAGACAATATTAGATGGTAAAGTTTATGAGTAAGAACTGTAAATTCCAGGAAAGAGGATTATAAAACTTTTTAAGATTAATGAGGTGGTGAAAACTCTACTTTTTCTCTAGAAATTTTTAAAAACAATCTGATTTTTTTTATTTGAAGGATTATGCTATTAAAGTATGGGAGGTTAGGCCAGACAACCTCAAAATCCTGCCAATCCTATGTTAAACAAAATCAGTTGAGAAAGAGATTATTATACTGTTCTTCAGTGGTTTCTTTTGGGGGTATGTGGGGGTGCTTCTTTAGTAGAGTCTTTGGTGATTGTGACTATAGGCATTGAGGTATAAGGCACAGCACAGAGCAGCCACTGTTGCTCATGTTGGGTGACAGAAATATCATCTCTTAGCAGAATGGTGTCACTTTTCTACACAAAACCTTTCATATGATCATTAAAGATGCATTTATTGGATTCAGCTGCAATTTTATATTTACTGCGCTACATTATAGTGTCAACACAAGCAACCCATGCCTTTTAAATAGAGAACAGCAGTATATCTGAGGTGTTTAAATTGTGCTTATTTGAATGTTAATTACATCTTTAAAATTTGCTTCATTAATGATACTGTACAAAATGAGATTATTTTATACTCATCACCCTGGGCTTTCTTTCTGTTAAACTTCTTTACCATAAATCTTAGTCCTATTGCTTCGCCTAGAAAGTCTTATAATGCCATTTTTATGTGGGTTTTTTCCCCTGCATTTTTACTTCTTTGTTATAGGCCAGAAATGTTCAAATGCTTGGTTGCTAGAAAGCGTATAAATTACTCTTTTCATATTTGGGACAAGAGCAGTAAAACTAAGTGTATTTATTTGAGTAGATTTCTATGAATTGGAGTAAGGAGTATGTGAACTTTTATGTTCACAAATTATGTACAATATTAAATTATTTGGTCTTATTAAGGATTGTTTTTGTCATGTAAAGTTGAGCTTAAGTTAACTTCAGTACAGGAGTTAAGAATGAATAAAATAGTATCATCTTGGTTAAAGATAGGACTTAAAAAATCAAGAAGTTCTTGTTTTAAATAACAGAAATTAAAGCGTAACCCATTAAAAATAATGATTTACCATGTATAATATACCCTGTAATTACTGTATTATTTGATTTTTAAACTGTCTCTTTGTATTTGCATATATGTTATTTTTCATGAACAAATGGCTATTTCTTAGAAAGCCATACTGGAATCTGATGAAGAGTGGTCTATGAACAAGAAATTGATTGATCTCTCTTCAAAAGATATCAGAAAGTCTGTAAGTATCTTTTCTTTTCTAATATAAGAAATTACCCAGGATCTTCATTAATTTCCACATCTTATTTGAGGAGGAGACCATTTGGTGAGTGATCCAATGTGAAGTAACTCATCTACAAATACAAAAGAAATTACATTCTTTCTATCTGATCTAGCAAATACATATTTGTTCAAATGCTAATTTGAATGTTGATTCCCGACACCTGGCCCTGTGTCATTGTAGTCCCTATAAAACTGGCTATGACTGCCCTCAGACTCTGCCAGGAGAGCGCCTCTTTTGGGCTTCTCAGCTTCTGGGGGACAAGTGGTGACAGGGGCTTTCTTATTAATGGAATTATGATGAAAGACACATTTTCCTAGAGGCTCTAGTTTGAATTTGGAACTCAGTTTTATTCTTTATTTTTCCTTATACAAAAGTTCCCTGTTACGTACCTTTAAAGCAAGTGAGTCAGATTACAGGTTCATTATTCTTTTGGGGAGTTTCTTCACCATGTTTCATAGTTTAATCTTAATTTGCAGATCAACTTTTAGATATAAGTTACACAGGTTGAGTACTTCTGTAATGACCTCTTTTTTTCTAGAAATAGAACTTAAATAGAACAGATGTAATAGACTTGTGCATTCCTTTTTGTTTTTCTATTATAAAAGTAATTTAGTCTACAGATGTTTATTGAGTGCCTCCGATTTACCAAGCACTGGCAAATTCCAGGTGCTTTTCATACATAGTGGACAAAACAGAGAAGATCCCTGACTTTATGGAGCTTATAGCTTAGTGCAGAGGTTAGGAACCCCCAGCCCATGTGCTAAACCCTGCGTGCTGCCCGTTTGTGAAAACGAAGTTTTATTGGAACACAGCTGCACCCATTCGTTTGTGTATTGTCTTTGGCAGCTTCATGCTACAAGTGCAGAGTTGAGAGCTGCAATAGAGACTGTGTGATCTGCAAAGCCCAGAATATTTTATTTAAATTGGAACTTTAAAGTTGTTTTGTTTTGTTTTTTTTTAAGTTTGCTGACCCCTGTTCTGGTAGATGTCACTAGAATATTTTTCTCCCACTTCTTCTTTTGGAAAGCCAGACACCTGATACATGAGACTGATAGGATTCCTTATTATTTGTTATATCCCAGTCAAAAGATTCAAATTTCATTGCATTTATTGAAGATAGTTTTAATTCAAAGGTAAGATATTCTCTAAAATCTTTTTCTCTTCCCTTGCTGGTGAACTGGGCCAGACAATATATTAACAAAACAAAACAAATACCCCTCCTAACTGTCCTATGTGCTTCTGTCCTATGTGCTTCTTTGTAGAAAAGGGCATTTAATGTCCATACATCGTTTGTGCCCGAGTTTTTCATTTCTCATATCATCATTTCCAGTGCCATTAAATATTCTTTTAGAGCATGATTTGATGGCAGTTAAAATATTTCAAAGTAAAACTTTTAAAAGAAATGTATTATTCTTCATTTGCTACACTGCATATGCAGCTTTGCTGCTGGCAAACCATCTCCTACCTATTGTAAGTTTGTTTTGTAAAACCTGGATAAGTACTTAAAGTACCCAGAGGGTTCTAATATTTTAACTGAACCAAAATGAAAAATAAGAAACAGATACAGATCCTTACAGGAATGGTGGTTGTAGATTCAACTTTGACATGTTTCAAATACAGCCCCAATGGCCCTTTCTAAGCCACTACATAGTGCTGTGTGAGAGTCACAGCAGACTGGGTACGATCCAGATGACATGACCTCTGGAGGTCCCTCTTAGCTTTAGGATTCAGTAATTATGTGGATGGAATTGTGAAGAGAGCTTGAGTATAAGAATAATTCCAAAGCAGGTCAGTTTTTAGGTTAACAAGCTTTCCAGTGTCTTTTTTAAATGATAAAAACGTTTCTGAGCATGAAGTTATAACAGTCTTTAGTTATTTTAACATTATTTTTATCCTGAAAAAAAAAACACCCCATTATATTTCTTTTAAAAGTTCTACATCCTTTGCAGTTTCATAAAGTGTTTGACCTGCTTTACTGGGAGTGGGGTGATTTTTTTTTTTCCACAGTAGATTCTTGGCTTTTAGTAGAGATTCACGTATTTATATTTCTTTCTGATTCTTTGTTGATTTATATTTTTTCCTTGCTTTGTGAGTATAAGCTTCTCTTTTTATGTCCATTTTGTTTACTTTTTCTGGGTCTTTTGATATCTTTGCAATGTAGTGTGAAGTTTCTGGAAATATACAAGGGAAACAGATCTGAATGTTCATTGCAGAGGAGTTCCATGATATTAAATAACTTGTGAAGAAAAGTGGTCATATTTAACAAGGCTATTTTATTGAGATTTCATATGAATTCTTTCTGAACTCTTAAGCGTTGTGGTTTTTAAGTTTAATTTTGCGATAACTATAGTTGAAAAACATCTAACACATTTAGGGACCAACATTTTTTTAAAAAATTAAGGAAAGTCTGTCTCAAGGAAAATTTGGATTTACCCAGAGACCTTCAAACTCAAGGACAGTTATAGAAGTCAGGGCTAAACAACTGAAACATTAAAAGGAGAAAAATTTAAAAACTACTGTTTTTCTACCAGCAATAAAATTTCTTTTGCAATTCTGGTAATTGCAAGAAAAGGAAGATGGTAAATGTGCATATATTTTGATAGTAGAGCCTTTTCAATGCTTACTGACTAACAACTCTTCTGGCAAGACAGTAGGTTGTACATTTTGCAGCCTGCAGTGAGAGAACCGAGGGAAAGCTTTGGCAGCAGCTGTTCTTTGTGTAAAAGTAGTCGAGTGTTCATTGTGCTGTCTTGGCAATTATGCAGTAGATTGTTGAGATTTGGTATCTATATTAGTTTTCTAATGCTGCTGTAACAAATTACCACCAATTTAGTGGTTTAAAACAACACATACAGAGGGAAAAATGACATACAGAGGGAAAAATGTATACACATTTTAAGAGAGGAAAAAACTTAAAATTACACTGATGGTAACTACTTTGAGCGCACCTCTTGTAATTGCAGAAGTCAAATGTGACTTGTATTCATCTTTTATTATTGGTATATATTGAGTATTACAATTTTAACAGTTTTTTCCTTTCTGAAAATGTGTATTTGTTTGGCACCTTCTGTATTTATTAGTTCTGCTGGTAACAAGTATAAGATGGATCTCACTGAGCTGAAGTCAAGGTGTTAAGCAGGCCTGCGCTCATCCTGACAGCTCTGGGCAGAATCCATTCCCTCGCTTTCTCAGCTTCCAGAAGCCACCTGCATTCCATAGCTTGTGGTTCCGTCCTTCATCTTTAAAGCCAGCAATGTAGGATCTGCCAATTCTCTGACTCTCACCCTCCTGTTTCTCTCTTATAAGTACTTTTGTGATTACATTGGGCCAACCTGGAAAACCCAGGATAATCTCCCCATTTCAGGATTCATAACTGAATTGCATTTGTAAAGTCCCTTTCACCATATAAGGTAACGTATTCATGGCAAATAATTAGATTATTGACATATTTAGGGGGCCGTTATTCTGCCAAACACAGTATAACACAAACAAAAACCATGGCACTGTCATCACAGATTGCAAGTTATCTCTCCTTCAAAGTACTGTCCTTTAGTTAACATAGTTCTGTAACATCGTTTTAGTCATTCAGATTCATGTTTTGCACATGGGGATCTACTTCAGATGGCAAAAATATTCTAATGGAGACGTCCATCTTTTTTTCTTGGACCACTGGTTTGGACAAAGCTCTATTGTTTGGGAGACAGAAGTGAAAGTAATGTTTGAATAATCTTGTCTGTGCGCATTTTCGTATTCTGTCCTCATAGCAAGCCTCTGAGCTTTTCAGAGTTCTCATGAGACTTAGAGATGTTAAACAACTTGCCTGTGGTTACATATTTATACAAATCAGAGCTGCGACTAGAGCCTTGTCTGTCTTTATTTTTTCTTAATTATCTAGGTCATACATGTTTGTATTTTGAAAATGTGAAAATATTTTAAAAAATGCAAAGCCACAAAACAGTCCATTTCTCTGCATTTCATGTTATATACAATTTTGCAAACTGATTTGTTTTACTTATGCTTTTCTGTGTCTGATGACCACATGATGTCTTTATATATTGCCTCGTCCTCAGCAGGAAATGCAAGTAAAAAAATCTACAACCACTGTATAAGACACACCCAGTTTTTAGATCCTAAATTTTTCAAAAAAGGGTGTGTCTTATACATGGGGAAATACGGTAGTAGTAGTCATCTCAGGGGTATTATAAACACAGCGCTAAGTATATGGCCAGGCCCCTGTTTCTAGTCTGCATTGTGAGGAAAATATAAGAAAGCATATCTTCATTCTCTATTTGTGTAGTGTAAGGAAAATTATTCCTCTGTTATATATTTAAAAAGTACCCTTTTTTTTCCTGTTTTCATCAAAAACAGTAAAATAATTGGTTTTGATTATAATTGCTGAATGTTATGAAGAGCTATCTGGGTGAATCGCTACCAAACGAAATGTTTTACTTAGGAAGTTAGGTCATTGCTTCAGTATTTCTAGAATTGGAAATTTATTGTATACTTCTGTTATGAGGGATGCTTAATTACTGTCATGTCAGAGAGCAAGAAGAGGAAGTAAGCATGACTTTCTGAGTTCATGTGTGATTTATCTGTTTATTTAGGTACCCAAAGGCTTACCTTACTTCTCTGTGGATTTTGGCCTCCAAGGAGGGTTTGCCCATGTCATTGAAGATCAGCACAAATTCCCTCATTACTTTGGAAAGGTATGCTCACAAATTTAATAAAATTCCAGTTTAGCAACTTGGTAACACTTCTCTTTTGAAGATAACGCAAACCTTTGGTCACAGTATACAGTGAAGTTGATGTGCACTATTCCACCCGATTTTAAAGGGACAACCTAGAAACTATTAACAAAATTACCCCAGAATTTTTATAACAGTCAGGAGTGTCACATCTAACTCTGCAAACCCTTTAATCTTAGGAGTGCTAGCTGTGTCTGCTTGTCAAGCAATTTGTCCATTTTGTTGCTTTTTAACACATCTACCAGGCAGCAGCAAAGGGGAGGAAGACAAAGTGGAATTTAATTAATTTGGTCCTTAGCTCCCCTGGTAAACAGTCTGAAGAAAAAGTTAATCAACATGTTCAGCTATAGTTGAATCTCAGACTAATGTTTTCTCGGCTACCTAGTATATTATAAGCCAGTTTCTTCTACCATGAGCTGGAGATCTTTTTTCAGGAATCAAAAACATATTTTGATACTAATCTAAGTAAACCAAGAATTAAAAATTATAACTCACCCTCATTTTAAAAGTCATATTCCCAACTCCTAAAAGGAATGGATTTTGCCTGCTTATTATTCTAGATTATTTCCCTTATGATCCTCTTTCTGTGCTGTTAGCTACAAAAGTTATCAAATTTATGCTTGTTAGTTTCCATGTACAGAAAGATGTAAGCAAATACTTTCATTCCTGTTTTCAGTATTTATACATACATGTGTTTTTCTCATTCTTTAAAAGGAAATCATTGGTGGGATGCTGGATATAGAACCAAGACTTTGGAGGAAAGGGATCCGAGAAAGCTTTGAGGATCAGAGGAAGAAAGCACTGCAGTTTGCTCAGTGGTGGAAACCATTTGACTTTACCAGAACTAAAGAACATTGAGTCATACCTTTAATTTTTTATTTCCTCTTCAGAATCCTTTTGATTTCATTTCCTTTGTATCTAACTAAACAACTGACCCTCAGGTCATAAGGAGAGAAAGTCCTGCTCTGGGCCTCATCGGACTGTGTCGTTTCCTTCCCCACATGCTCCTGTGGACTTCAGAGTAGTAACTGGGGGGTAAGACCAGATAGATACATTGGGTGACCTGCTCAGGTTCCTGTTCTATACCTGCGTCCTGGTATTCTAAACTATTCAGTGAATGTATAGAAAGACTTTTCTGAAGATTACGTAGGAGGTATAGCAGATCATTGGTTCAGAGGGAAGTAGGTCGGTTTCAAGGTTGTCTATTGACTGACTTCTTCGGCATTTTTTAAATTAAGAATTGTCATATTCAGTAATAATTGAAATTTCTTTTCGTAACATTTTACAAAAGAGCTCTTAATTTTCTACCAGTAGCATATATATCACTGCTATTCTTTTTATTGAAGGAAAAAGAATGTCCTAAAGGTAATAAAGAGTTAAATGAAGTATAACATGTTCATTATTTGTTTTTATTTCTAGGTTTTTAAATACAGTCTTTGAATTTTGGGTCTTTTTTTTCTCATTTCTTCTTTTTAATTATTTTTTTGAGAAATACACATTTTTTAGGATTAGTTTCAGCTGTACAACACAGTGCAATAATTATACTTTTTACTCCTCGAAGTAACAACCCCCCTCCCCCAATCCACCGCCCCACTTCCCCCCTCAATATCATACATATCTATTACAATTCCCTTCACTCCACTCCCACACTATCTATACTCCGCATCCCATGACCATATATATATATATATA